TTATTTTCCAGAAATTCCACACTTGTTTTCTCCTCATACAGGCTCCTTGAGACTAGGAATGAGCTAATAAATGATTGTTGAATTAAAACTTTTTGACCTTATCAATAAAAATAACCAAAGCTTGCATTTATTTGTTTATTTGTGGTTGTATTGATGTAGGAAACTCCTAGAACATATGTGGACTTTTATGTTGTTCTTCCTATGGCATTTGCTACAACATCATAGATTCAGAGGCAGAAGGGACCTTGAGCCATCACAGAATTTCAGAGTTGGAAGGCAATTCAGGGCCCATCTAGTCCACCCCATACTCCCACTCCCTAAACTAAATAATTCTTTTTAAAACATACCCAACAAGCATTTTTCCAGCCTTGCTCAGAAGTCCTCCAATGAAGGAGAAGTCTCCTTTAGAGGCAGCCCATTCCACTTTTGGATATCTCTTGTTTTTTAAGAAATTGTTTCCCTTTTTTTGTAGACTATATTTATTCTCCCTATATGTATGTCTGTATGGACTTTTAAGCTTTAGTAGCTGAAAATGCACTAAGACTTGTGGAATGTACTATATACTCGTTCTCTCCTTCATTAAGAATGTAAACTCCTTGAGAATAAGGATTGTTTGGCGCTTTGTGTTTTCATCCCCAGCACCATGCACAGTTCCTGACACGTAGCAGTTACTTTCTTATTACTTGTTGATTAATTAGTCGACTATATCAATCTTGAATTTGTCTCTTGGCAACTCTCACTCACTGCTCCTTGTTCTATCTTCTGGGGCCAAACAGAACATGCCTCATCCTTCCTCCACATGCCATCCCTTCCTACATTGGCAGAGAGCTATGAGTGGCATCCTGGTTTAGTGGATAGAATGTTGGACATGGAAAAATGAAGACGAGTTCATCGCTTGCCTCAGGTACTTAATAGGTAGTTAACCACAGAAAAATCATTTAACCTCACAATGTGAGCATGTAGTACCCACGACATAGGTTTCTTGTGAGAAGATATTTAAAACACTTTGCAAACTTTTGAAGCTTTTTAAACATCAGCTGCTGTAATTTTACAGGTGAGAAAAATGAGGCCTTAAGAGGGGAGCTGATCTGCCTGTGGTCACATAGCCGACAGAGCCAAAACTGGAACCCAGGTCGTTCCACTTCAAATCTGGTATTCTTTGTATTAATGCCAGTAACATTCACATACCACTTTAAGGTCTGTAAAGCATTTTACCATTCTTTTACATTTTGATCCCTATGAGATAGGCACTATTATTGTCCCCATTTTACCTATGAAAGTGACTTGCCCAGGACCACACAGTCAGCATGGTCAGAGACAAGTACATGGAAGGACAGCCGAGAGGTAGGGGATTTAATGTGCTAAAGCTGGCCACTCAGAATGTGTCTGCTAAGGCATTCTGGGTTCAGAATCAAGGAATATCCAAACCAGTATGAAATCACTGAGGGTTTGAAGCATGGGAGAAGGGTATGATGTAAACAGCTTTAGAAAAAGAATAATTCAGAAGGACCCAGCTGGTGATTCAAAGGAGTTAGATAATCTGTACTCCCTTGCTCCAAGGGAAGGGGAAGGGAAAGATGAGGATGGCATGTAGCAAGAGGGGAAACATAATGCGTTTTGTGCTTTGAAGAAAGAGAACTCATCTTCCTTTTGTTTCCAGCAATCTGTCTTTCAGAAACTTCTAGTCATTTATTTTTCTCTCACACAATATGCACTGAATCATTTCTTTTCAAACCTTGCCTGATCTTCCAAACTTGGCACCTACCCCGAGGGCAGGGCTATTTTTTTCCTGTCTTACATAAGACAAGCGATCTGTTCCTGTTCCAGGTGCATTTTTTATACCATGTTTTAAATTTAAGACATTTAAGGATTATGTCTTAGTTATTTTGGGGGGAAAAATAGTTACCTTGACAATGAATGTCAAGAAAAACTGTAAAAGAGGGTAAGCTGTTAGCATGGAGCCAGGAAACATTTTTGACAGATTTACAGTGGTTTTATTATTATTGTTGTTATTTTAAAATGTGAAACTCAAGCCAGAATTCTAAATAGAGCTACAAAAAGTCAACCCACAATACTTAGCATGATACTGCATTTTGTAACAGGTAGGGAACAGTGTACCAACTAGATGACAACAAGAAATTAATATAAAGAGCAGGAGGGCTCAAGGTCACAGCGCGAGAAGTCAAAGGGCATTGAGCTAAAAGGCCCTAGTTCAACTCATTCATTTTACAAGCGAGGAAGCCACGGCCTCGAGAGGGAGCGTGACTTGTCAAGATCTGAAAATATATTCTGATAATGCATTCCCAAACAATCCCAGTGATTAAGGAGAGGCAAAAGCATCAGGAGAAACCAACAGGGGCTTTCCAAGGAACTCTGATAGGTAAACATACGTGAAAAGCACAGCACAGGACAAAGACAAAGAGGAGGGGGAATAAGGATTTATGCAGCACTTACTATGTGCTAAGCATTTTAAGAGCCTTACAGATATGATTTACTTAGCGCAGTGCCTCATCACGTTAACTCTCTTAGTTGCCCCTCCCCTCAAAGCCTTCCTTTAGAGAGGGCTGAGAACTTTCCAGGTAACTCGATTTTCCATCAGCCGCTCTGCTTGGTTGCCCCTGCAATGGGTCCCCTCTGATTGCTCTTCCCCTCTCTCCACAATTCCTGGAACACAGTAGGTGCTAAATAAATGTTTACTGAATTGAATTGATTTAATTTTGTTTTTAATTGATTAAATTTTACAACAATTCTGGGAGGTAGATGTTACTGAGTCCCATTTTACAGTTGAAGAAACTGAGGCAGACACAGATTGAGTGATTTGCTGTAGCTCACACAACCAGGAAGTGTCTGAGGCTGGATTTGAATTCAGGTCTTTCTGATCGCAACCTAGCTGCCTTTAGATGGGACATAACACACACAACGATGCCAGGAAAGCTGACGCCCTCCATTGAGCCAAGGCTTGTGAAAAAAATTCTAGATAAGACAAAGTGTGTGTGTGTGTGTGTGTGTGTGTGTAAGATATGGTCAGAGCAATAAGAAAAGGAAGGGATAAGGTCACTATTTGGGGCTTCTACTGTAATGCTCACAGATAATAATGGTAATAACAACTCATCAAAGCTCATTCATTATATCTCTATGAAATGGATAGTGAGACTATTTTTAGCACCATTTTGCAGGTGAAGAAACTGAGGTATCAGGCAATTAAATGATGTGTCCTCAGTCACATGGCTATTATGTGTCAGAACCAAGATTTGAGGCCACGGACCTTTTTCTATATTAAGCACATTATCGTTTTATCCTACTGTCGTCTCTCAGAGACAAAGAATTAGCCATTAAAATTTTTTTCTGATGATACGTGAGAGTTCAAATAAATGATATTTACATGAATGTTTTGCCTTTGTGTCACATATGGGAAATTTAATTTTCGCCATGGAAACTGAAATGAGGCTTGAAATAACGGTATATCATATACATGGTTGAAGAAATTAGGGATGTTTACCCTGAGGAAGAAAAGACTTGGGAGACAGGGACATAATTTTTACTGTGAAGGGTTAGAGGCAGCTAGGGGGTAGAGGAATAGAGTTCTGAGCCTGAAGTCAGGAACATCTGAGTTCAAATCTAGCCTCAGACATTTTACTAGCTCTATGTCCCTGAGCAAGTCTGTTTGCCTCAGTTTCTTCTACTGTAAAATTAGGATAATAATAGTACTTACCTCCCAGGTTGTTGTGAGGATAAAATGAGAAAATATTTGTAAATCACAGTACACAGTGACTGGCACCTAGGAGGTGTTACATAGATGCTTATCCTCCATTCTCACCTCCCTTATGTGTAGAAGAAATTTACTCCACCTGGATCAATTGGTGGAAATTCTAAGATGATAGAAGTTAACTTCCAGAAAGAGCTTTCTGACAGTTAGATTTATCTAAACAAAGCGATGGGCTGCTTTTGAAAGCTTTGAATTCGCCATTGTTATAGGTGTACAAATGGAAGCCTCATTACCTCCCCTATTGTAACAAGAGAACTCAGTAAAGAGGTATAACACATAACCTATAAGGAACCTTTCAATTCTAAAGTTCTGTGACTGGTCATGTGTTAGGGGATGATGTAGATGTTGAGAGTAATTCCACTGCCTAAACATGCCCCATGCTTCCCACCTCCATATCTTTGCTCACACCATGTAGCAGGTCTGGCATTTCTGTCCTGCCTCCATTTTCCTACTGTTTGAAATCCTTCCCATTCTTCAACATAAAATGCCCGAATGTGACTTCCTCTATATCTCTTTCCAATCTTCCCAGGTAGAAGTAAGGCTCAGAGTGGTATGGTAGAAAGAGTGCATCAAGGAAGGTATGAATTAGGATTCTGGTTTTGTCCCTTACTAATTGTGTAACCTTTAGCAAATCAGTTTCTTTTTCAGAGCCTTAATTTCAGAGTTATAAAACGAGAATAATAATACATATACAACTTCTCTCATAGGTGGCTGAAATACTTAACTCACAGGGTGAAAATATTTGGTAAAATTTAAAGCTTAAGAAAAGTCTCCCTCTTTTGGACTCTGTTATTCATATAAAGTGAAACATCAACATAAAGCTTGAATCTTATATAAGACCAATGGTAACTTTGACTTCAATTTTTTTTTAAATACAAAAACTCAGACAGCTTAATGGAATTATAAAACTAAAGTTGGATTTGTCCTTAGAGGCCAGATCTAGACTAATCTGTTCTCTTGACAGATGACGAAACTGAGGCCTAGGGGAGTTAAGTGACTTGCCTCACCGAGAAGGAGCATCAGAGGTAATGTTTGAAGCCAGGTTCTCTGATTACAGAGAAAGTACTCTTCACAAAATGTCATGTTGTCTTACATTATCCAACTGTCCAATATAGGCTTCCCATGCTCCATCCTACTATTCTCAGCTGTTTTAATCTTCATAGTTCCAAATAAGGACAATCTGCAAAGCCAGGATTTCCTAGGTATATAAATGCCTGCTTGTAGTCATGCTCACCATTAGTAGTCTGTCTCCTACTTGCAAACGTCCGTCTTTCTGTGCTGCGCCTCCATCTATGATTTTAGTAACATAAATACTGTTGTCTCCAGGGATGTGTTGATTGCCCACACCTCCTGCGATACTGAAGCCTAGACCTATGGGAGGAAAAAGACAGAAGAAAAGACCTTTTATGCAGTGTTTATTTAATAAAAACAATGTAATTCTTTGACAGTTTTCTGAAATGGTTGCACATCCATTATGGTGTTTTTCCAATAATGGGCATTCTACTAGGCTCTTTTCCCCTCTTCCTTTACTTCAAGTAGTTGAGGATTTGTGATGGCTACTCCTAATGAGACCAAGGTCAAAAGTTCAATCCTGTATGTGCCAATTAACTTTGTTATATTCTCTGGCCACAGTCTATATCCGTACCCTTAACTAATCATTTCCCAAGCCTTTCATATTGGTCCAAAGCAGGATTAGGCAAGAGGATACAGTTGGACTGCATAAATCTCTCACTTTTATTTGGAAAAGAATTCAAGGATGATCCTGCTGGTAGTGGATCAATATAGTTCTCTTCATATACAAATTAACTATGACCAATCATTATTTTTATACTTCTAAAAAGTCAAAATATGGAAATGCAGCCTTATTCTTATAGAGAAGTGATATCTGTAGTCTTAGACATTCCTGAATGAAGAACATGAAGGGAGAGAAAATATCCTAAAGCCTCTGACCATTCCTTTGCTTAGGTAAAACATTTAAGAAACAATAACATTTCTTGCTATCTGACCAGAAATGAGAACTCCCTTCTGGGGACCCAGTAGCCTGATTGATGGCTCCCTCAGTCAGCTACTCAATGTAGGCCCATCTCCAGCCATATTCTCACTAGATTTCTTGCTCTCACATGTGTTTCCTTAGTACTCATCCTTCATTCCAGTTCTGTAACCACAATCAAATCAACTCTTTCATTATCCCTGGAAAGGATATGTCAATCTCTCTCCCCCCCTATCCCCCTATCTTCTCTCCCAGCTCCACTTATCATTCCTGTAACTTTCAGAAGCAAAATACTCCCCTCCCTGTTCATCATTCCCTTATATATTTTGTCTCCCCCCATTAGAATGTAAATTTTTTGAAGGCAGGGACTATCATTGCTTTTGCATCTATATCTCCAGCATAGTACAATGTTTGGCACTTAATAAATTATTTTCATTCATTCCTTCAATGGTATTTCAAAAAGAAAAAGAGGGAAGAAATAAGGGTCCTTCAGATTTTTTCCTTCCAAAGTCACATTTTTATGTATCTCTATGTCTGTTTCCTTCTTATTATTCTTTATAGTTACTGCACTTTGCTAAATAAGCAGCTTAATGGACATTAAATGGCTATTTGTCATATACAAACTGAAACTGAGGAAAGAGGAAGAAGAAGAGGGGAAGGAAAGGAGGAAGAGAAAAGAAAAACAGAAAGAGAAGCAGGAGAAAGAAGCAGAGGGGTGAAAGAAGGATTTTGAATTGTAGAATTGATTATTTTCATAATATCACAGACAGATATGAAAACATTTAAAACAAATCTTCCTACTTTTGCATTTTATTCTGAAGTCAGAACAAAGTATAAAATTTTAAGTATCATTTTAAAAGTAACTATATAATTTTGCCAAATTATAGATAGAAAATAGTTACTCCATAGCTACAAAAACTAAGATAAGCTCTAAGTTAAAGGAATGGGTCTAATTGAATTTAAAAGCACATGAATGACAGCATTTAAAAAGTTTTTTTTTTCCTTTTTCCAAAAAAGACAGCTTCAGCACCGTATTTGCCATAAATATTTTCATTTTATTTCACAGTCACTCTAACATTTGGTAATTAACTCAAGCAAGAAGCTTGACTGCTTATCTGCATGATATATAAGACCATACATAATGATCAACACCTATTTGCATTCTAATTGATTAATAAGGCCCTGGAGAGTCAGCAAAACTAAGTGCATAGGGGACTGACCTTGGAGCCCCAAAGACCTCAGTTCAAATCAGGGTCCTGTTAAGTACTGATTGATTGATAGATAACCTCTGTGATCCAAACCTCTCTGGCATCGTCTTTATAAATAAAACACCCCAGACAATTCTCTGAAATAAGTGGCTGGTGGTACTTTTCAGGCTTGAGTTTCTTATTCCAATAAAATCACAGGTCAGGCCTCGTATTTTTTTGAAGGCCTTAATGGATCAATTTTTGCAGAGCGAAAGGTCCAAAATAAAGGGTCACATGGGACTCTGTGTCCAGATCAAAGTCATGGCTTTCTGTTCATTAAACCTGTTGTGAGGCTGCTAGTGGTGCAGTGCATATAGCCTGGGCCTGGAGTCAAGAAGACCTGAGCTCACATCCCACCTCTCCACCTCAGACACCGACTCTATATTTGAACTGGGCAAGGCTCAGAAGTGGGTCAGAAGTTGTCAGGGTCATCAGTCAGGCTGTCTGGTGACCTCCGGCCAGACAAGAAGTGTTAGAATTAAATAGGAATTGAGACCCCTCAAAATCATTTCTATGAAGATACTGTAGCTGGAACATGCTTCAGGCTTTCCCCCCTCCTTATGAATGTTTAAGTTTCTAATGTAACCCTGAACTGTAACCCTAAAATTACCAAGAATCACAAATATCCCTTGGAAAGGATGGAAAAGACTACCAGTTGATAAATATTCTCAGTCAATCAATGGAGAAGAGCAGAAGAGTTCAGGAATGTACCTGTACCCATCAGGGAGTGGGGTGAAGGAGGGATAGAGAGACAGAGACAGAGAGAGAGGAAAAGAAACAAAGAGACAGAGACAGACAGACAGACAGACAGAGAGGAGGGAGAGAGAGAGAGAGAGAGAGAGAGAGAGAGAGAGAGAGAGAGAGAGAGAGAGAGAGAGAGAGAGAGAGAGAGAGAGAGAGGAGAGAGAGGAGAAGAAAAAAGAGGAGAGACAGAGACTAAGACAGAGACAGAAAAAGGGCCTAAATCCCTCACAAGCTTGTAGTTATGCTCTTTTGCAACTTCCAGTGTGATCAGGAAACATACTAGAGTCTTTATTCTTGATCCCCATGTGGGTCACGGATACCACTTCTCTATGTGAAGCTCTAATTAGGTTAATGGTTGTCCTTTTAATGAAAATAAAATCAAACCAAACCAAACCAAACCAAACCAAAAACACCTTAGTTTTGAATCAAAGCAGTACCTAAGTTCATACTTGTACAACCTCCCAGATACAACAGAGGACTAACTGGGGCTCACTGTTGATATGATTGGGTAGCTAGGTGGTACAGCAGATTTAGAGCACTGGGCCTGGAGTCAGGAAGACCTGAGTTCAAATCCAGCCTCAGCAACTACTAACTGTGGGCAAGTTACTTAACCCTTTTTACTTCAGTTTCCTCATCTGTAAAATGAGAGGGAGAAGGAAATGACAAACCACTCCAGCATCTCTGTCAAGAAAAGGTGTCGAGGTCACAAAGAGTTGCACATGACTGAAACAACTGTTCTGACTAAAGCCATGTGAAGGAAAGGAGAATTATTATCCTTTCTCTCCATCCCTAAGTCCATCAATGATGATGGTGATGATAACAACTAACTTTCATATAATACTGACTTTTCTATAAAGTTTGAAAAGTCCTCTATGTACATCTTTTTTTTTTTTGGTGAGGCAATCGGGGTTAAGTGACTTTCCCAGGGTCACACAGCTAGTAAGTTTCAAGTATCTCAGGCCAGATTTGAACCCAGGTCCTTCTGACTCCAAGGCCGGAGCTCTATCTACTGTGCCACCTAGCTGCCCCTTCAAATAACATCTTATTTGGACCTTACAAGAACTATATGAAGCAGGCATTGTAAGTATTATTATTCCTTTTTTACAGCTGAGCAAACTGAGGCTCAGGAGAGCTAAGTGATCTGCCAATAGATGCATAGCCAATAAAGATATGGGATTTGAACCCAGGTCTAGCAGTCTAATTGCTGTGACATGCTGCCTCAAACAATCAGAAAGTAACTGAGTTTCAATCTCCAATTCTGATACTGTCAAGGATGGCTAAGTAGCCAGGCTCCTGACATTGGTGATATGGGGAACCAATAATGATGGTCATTCTAATTTACATTCCTACAGCAACAAAGAATATCTGTTCAATCTTGACTCAGACTCTATGAACTAAATTATTTCTCCTGGGTAGCAATATATGCTGTCAAAATAACATAAATGATTAGTTAATGGATAGATGATGGGGTAATAAACTGCATCTTTGAAATTATATTAGAAACCCTATGAATTTTGAATGAATTAATTATTATTGCTGTTGTTAATAATAAATGCAAAATGAATTTAGAATGCTAGGACAATTAAAATAAGTGTTGTCTCATTTCCTATGGAAGTGAGTAATTATTCTTTGTATTTATATGCTGCTGTCACAGCAATGACTGGATTGATGACTATGCCATATTTAAAGAATGTGTTTATCCAGCTGAAGATAATCAAGGAGAGAGAGCTATGTCCTTCTCCAGGAAAGTTTACTATAGAAATAATCAGAAGGTTTCATTAAATTGGCTTTACTTTTAACATTACAATCCCATCAAAGACTTCTATGAGTTAAGTATCCCAGTGTATTATTAACAGTTTAATTTTCCATATATAAAATGGAAAATTTTAGTGATTTTATTTCTTTTTACTTGATGAATTTTTTTACTGCCTTTTTTTTTCTACCACAATCACTTCTGGAAATTCCACCCTCTTTCTCAATCCCTGGAATCAAATGTCCCCTTCTAATGAAGCTAAAGTAAAAAAACAAACAAGCCCTAATACAGTGACCAACTCTGATAATACAGGCATCATTCTGCTGGAGGAAGCCTCTCCTTGTCTGTTGAGAAGAGGAAGCATATTCCATTCCTGTGCTTTCCCCAAAGTCTTCCATTCACATGTTGGGACCAACTTTCTGTTTGTGAATGCCCAGAGGTTATTCTTAGCAACAAAAAAGACAGGTTTAAAAAATGCAATACAAACATGCCTGCGTGGGCATGCATGCACATATACACACAACACAAACCCTAGGGACTCAGATCTATGTACTTTGAGCCCCAAATAAATACCACCAGCAGAGTAACTTACAGAAAGGCTGAGGCATCAAATCATCCCTCTAAACAAGGCCAAGCC